AATTAGTTTGACTAGTACCTTTAAATTATTCTAATTGTGTGTATCTTTGTGATTAGGACATCAGTTAAATAAGATCTCATTTGGGCTGTTTTTATTTTAATAATTTAGAGGGTTTCCTTCTAATTTTATACTACTGTATATGCCACTCATTCCTGTAAACTTTGAGCATGAATTTCCAAAGAAAGTGTTGAGCTCAATGAATTGTGAAAACATTGTTCTTAGTGTTGGATGCCCTTTAATTTGGTTTTATTGATAGAAATTGAGATTTGAATGAAACTGATTTCGGGTTCGGAACTTGGTTGCAGGACTTGGCTTTGCTAGAAGAGAAGTTTATGTTGTGAAAGATACAATTTTGATCTGTAATATGCCTTTAACTGAGCTTGTTAGGATGTTCAAAGGGAAAGTGGATGTCACCAATGAAGCTGCCTCTACTTCTATTGATCCTTCTTCTAGGTATACTTCTATTAGTAGGCTAATCTTTATAAATTAGGTTTTATTTTGGTGATTTGAATATACCTTTATTTTCCCTTATTGTGTACTTATATTGGTGTATTTTTTGGGGGAATTGGATGCAGACCTGATACTGATTGCGTTGAGCTAGTTTGGGAAAATGGTCAGCTTATGATGCAAGGTAATAAAGCTAGAAAAAGTAGTAATTCAAACAATTTTCAAACCTATGGCCTCAAGTCTCAAGATGGTAGGAGTGGTACTAATTGCTCGAAAATGGCCAAGTTTGGCACAATGGATTCTGTAATTGGTGATTTTCCAATGTCTGTACCTTCTTGTGAAATGGGTTTGGATGAAGATGTTGACTTGGTACCTTGGTTGAATTATCCCATGGAAGAAACTTTGCATAATGACTATACTTCTGACTTCTTGAATGAGTTATCAGGAGTTACAATTAACGATCTCCCTACCGATAATCATTTAGCATACCGGGAAAGGAAAATTAGTTTTCATGGTGATGACCATGATAATTCTGCAAGCCTGAAGCATAACAACACATCTAAGGATTATTCAAGTAATGAGAAGAATAATAGAGGGGGAAGTATTGAGGTACCGCAATTTATGTTTCCCTTCCAGCAAAGTGTCCCCAGATCAGGAATTTCTGATATTACTGGTAGCAATGCAAGCAACACCCACCATGTTGGTTCACGAGACTCCGGTCTTAATCCATCTTCACTAAGTGCTTTTACCAGCTTGAGGTTGCAGAAGCTGGATGCAGGACAGCCTAGCACTACTAGCTCGGGCTTTACAAATTTTCCCTGCTTCTCGCGGCCTGCTGCTCTTTCTAGAGCTAATCATGTGACTGTAAATCCCTCAAAGAGATTAGAGGATGGGAATAAAAGGTGCACCTTTAGTAGTAATCCTGCTAACTCTACACTGGTTAATTTGGATAGTGGTTATTCCCAAAAGGAACCCATATCTCACAATCAATCCATTATGGCACCAACAAACAACAATTCAATTGCTTTGCCCACAAAGCCGCGTGCTGAAGAGCTGCTTTCTGCAAATCAACCTATGTGTAGAGAAGACATAGCTAAAAATCAGGCATCACAAAATCAAGTGTGTGATTCACCAATGAGCAAAGTGGGTACCAGTGGTGATAGAATCATGGAGCCAGTAGTTGCAACATCTTCTGTATGTTCAGCCAATAGTGCAGAAAGAACTTCGAATGAGCCTGCACGCAATTCGAAAAGGAAGTCTCGTGAAACAGAATCAGAAGATCCTAGTGAAGTAAGATTTCTTCTTACTCCTGATGAATATTATATGCTTCTTGTCATTCTAATTTCCAATTCTCATGTTAAGCTGGAAATTGCCTAACTTGCAGGAAATTGAAGAGGAATCAGTGGGTGGAAAGAAACCTTCTCATGGTCGCGGTGGCTCAAAGAGAAGCCGAGCTGCAGAAGTGCATAATCTATCTGAAAGGGTAAGCTCATAGTTTGCAAATTAGTATCTGTAGTGGTGACTAGTGAGACCGGTGACATTTGCAATTGGAAATTAATGTGTACCTTTTGAAATGTTACTAACAGAGACGAAGGGATAGAATTAATGAGAAGATGCGTGCATTACAAGAGCTCATACCCAACTGCAATAAGGTAATGCTTTTGATACGTTCGATGCCTTTGGTTAGATATACCATCTGTGTTTCATTTGAATTCTTGGGGTGTTAAGACTCTAGAGTCTAGAGACAGAAAATCAAGTCAAGATATGTAATTGGTGCTCACTTTTCTATCATACATGACTGCTAACTATTCCTTTCCAAACACTAGGCGGACAAAGCTTCGATGCTTGATGAGGCTATAGAGTATTTGAAGACTCTCCAACTTCAGGTACAGGTGAGCTATTAGGCTGCTGTGGCAGCTTGTTTGGCATAAGTTACAAGTCAATTGAATGGTAATGAAGTTTTATGTGTAATATTGAATTGAACATTGTTGGATGTTCAAGGTATTGATTTTCCATTAGCAAGCATTTGCTTTTCTTCCATTTTCATTACCATCCAGAGGTGTGGATATAAGTGATGATGAAAATGAATGAAAAGGGAAATGTCTGACTATTTAGATGCATTTCGTCGAACATTAACATGGAAGACTTCATTACCGTTCCCTTGATTTATTAATTTGTACTCAAAATGCCTTCAGAAACAGGACAATCTGTTGGCTTACATCAATTAGTGGATGCTGCAGGTATTGTCAATGGGTGCTGGGATGTATATGCAGCCTATGATGCTACCACCAGGAATGCCACCGATCCATGGAGCACATATGCCACATTTCTCTCCCATGGGTGCCATGGGGCTTGGTATGGGTATGGGAATGGGCTTTGGGATGAACATGCTAAACATGAATAACAGCACGAAGATGGTACCTTTCCAAAGCCCACATTACGCTATCCCTGGAACCGGGGCTATGTTCCATGGAATGCCAGGTTCTAATCTTCAGGCATTTCCGCACCACGGTCAAGGATTAGCAATGTCCATGCAGCAAACTCCTACAGTTTCCGTTCCAATGGGTAGTTTTTCGAAGATTCCCATAGGATTAAATGCCTCGGGTGTTGGTGGGTCATCAAATGCAACACATCTAGCACCATCTAGTAGTAAAAAGGATGCTAACCCACAAGTAATTTCTAGCATGGATAGCAACAATGTTAACAGCTCCATGAATCAGGCAACAAATCAGGTATTTGCATTTTTTGCCTACATTTGGATCTTCTAGTGTTGTGACATTATTAGTCTTCAATAATTGAAATCACCACTAGATATTTGCATAATTCATATATTTGAATGAATTTGGAATTTTCTTATTCCTGTGAAAATACATCAGGGGTCAATTATTGAACAACATTAGGAGTTTTAGGACATTAGGATTGTGGTAAAATGACAAATGACAAAGTTGGCTGCTAGCCTATTTTTTACTACTCCATTCGATTTTTACGTTTATTGTCGTTTAAGAATATGGTCAAGTTAATTTAGTTAAGATGATATGTGATAGAGGGTAAAACCAACTGTTTATTGTTTTGATGGTGGGATAAATATTTTTACAACCAACCTTAACGGCTTCACCATAAGGTCCATAACTGTGTGTTATTCAAATTGCAGACATCAAAAGAAGGTATTTAGGAGTCTACTTTGTGCCACAATCAAGGTCAAGATATTAATGCTTCAGAAACTGCTGAAGCTGCCTACAGAAACGACGTAGCTGATACGACTGACATAAACTTGTTGCCTGTTTGTGAATGGAACAGTGGCAAACTGCAACATGTCATCTTCATAAAATGTACAAAAGTATTGACAAGTAACCTGTTTCAAAGTGTATATATTCTCAGATTAGATGTTTGATCAGAGGTGCTCCAAAGTCCAAACTTCTCATCTGCTATCAAGTGCCAATCCATGACCCCTGTTAACGGGAAGTATAGTATGCTCGAGAGTGGCATGTCCGACTAAAATGCAGAGTTTTTGCCCTCTACAAACACTAAGGTTAGGTCTTTTGTAGATCTGTACATCTTATGAGATGTATATGTGGTTTAAGTGTATATTTCCAGATTAAAAGCCTATTTTTTTCGAGGAAATACTAGTATATGATATATTTATCGTCATACATCTCTAATAAATCAAGGGAGCTGTGTCCCCTTGTCATCACCTACATTACACTAAACATCGAGGAAATACTTCTGTAAATGTACACCAAATATGGTGGCTTTGATGATTTTCATAATGTAATACTGTATGAAATGGTAGATCAATATTTTTTTTTCTATTACAGCATATGAAAATAAAAGAAATTATTGGCTTTTCCTCTCTCTGTCTTTATTTTGTATCCAAAGGTTCCAAAGCCACATAGGAAAACATATTCTTCTCAGGCATACTTAGATTTAGCTACTCAATATAGAGTGAAGTAGTGAACTCTTAAGAGATATGACTTTACCCAAACTTGATTTATTTTCGGGTTTGTAGGGAGCCACAAAGGATATTGATGTAGACGGAATTTCATCTCTACTGTTAAGTATCATATCTACTCGTAAAACCTTACCAACTAGACAACTAATTTGGTTGTAGTATTCAAATTGATGAGCTATTAAAACATGTAAGACAAGATTACTTTTTGGAATTAGATGTGAATACACGCAACGTTTGAAACCCACGGTAGATCCAAACCAAGTATTGCTAGTGAAGATTGGAACTGACACATAGGCATGATCTATGTCTGGATATAATTGATTCAGCAATTCCAACTATTGTTAAAGTAGTCAATTCATGGAAGGTAAGCTTTAATGAGAAACTATGAAATGTGGAGTAGAAGTAGTCATAGTTGTACTTATTTTACTAACTGCTCATGATTAATATGGAGTAGAAGTAGAAACCTGATTCTCCCTTCGTCGACTTTTGTTTGCCCAAATTGGTAGAACCAAATGCAATTTATTTCGGAGTAAAACGGTTCTCCATAAACATTTGTCATATGGGACAAACAAAAAAGGACGGAAGGAAGAGTTCTTCAAGTCACTTGAAATTAAGTTCCTTGTATAACGAAACAACCCGTTTACTCGACTTAAAAGACCTACATAAATCTTGTAAAGCAAAAGCTCTAGATGAGTAAAGAAAGATATGTTTAAATCTACAAAACAAGCATACAGAATCTATCACATTTAATACAGCAGCAAATTTAGAAAAGAAAAACATCAAAATAAGCTCATGGTTCAAGTCTTGTCCTCAACAGAAAGCTGAAAGTTCAATTCTGCACCACCATTTGTAAACCATCCCGCTCCTCTAAAGAAAACACAAATAAGGATATAGTCCCATATGGAAAAAATTACTAGGAACAAGATGATTAAAACTCATACGAGAAGACATTACTTAGCCTGGGTCATATCCCCAATCAACGAGAACAAGATTCAGGTTATCAACAAAATTGGGGGAAGCTCAAGCAATTTTAGTATAAGTTGCAAATAGAACAATTAGTATTACCAGATTGAAGCAAGCTATCCTCTGAGAACTTATCCTTGAAATGGTACAGGTGTTTTAAGCAGCTTCCCAGGAAATGGTACAACTTCTAACATACAAATCAGATTGTTGTTTCTGGACAGGTTTTATCTTCAATAGAGATCATTCTATTAGATAAAAACAAAGCCCACACATTTAACGTATTTCAGAGTTGTTCTAACAGCAGAAGACCAGGGATCATGCCAAATACCATGACATGGGAGTGAAGCAAGATCAATTGTTTTTAAATCCATACTCGCTAAAGGAACAATGCACAAGCAAAAATGAAGACCCAACAAACTTCAATAGTCTCATTCGAATCATCTCTTCCACATTCCCTCTTAATCTCTTATGCCTCTTTTAGGCGCAGTGGGCTCCAACAGATAGCAACAACCTACTACTTAAGTTGCAAGTTGGTATCACACTTGATTATTACTGGCACCATCTTCCACCCTTTCTACAGGCTTGCCCACATCTCCATCTATCATAAGTTTATTCCCTTCTGCCTCATTGATCTGGCTACTGAGCTCCCCATCTACTTCTTGTGTCTCCAGTTTAGAGATAGAAACAGGCTCTCCATCGACAAAACCATTGTTCTCAAGAGCTTCCCCAACAGGATGATCTGTATTATCCAAAATGCTGTTGGGAACATTAGTGTCGCCTACATTTTGCTCCATGGCAGCTTCAGATCCCTTAGCCTCAGAAGCAAGAGATATGCTTGGTGTATCCGCAATTGATGCCACATCACCATCTGTGTGCATGATATTTTGTAAACTAGCTCTATTGACCGTTTCAGAAGCTTCACCATCCTCCTGAGGTCTTACATCATCAGAGGAATCTACTTCCATGGCGCTTACAGGTTCCGGAGTTTCAGAGCTCAGTAGTGAAGCCTGATTAGCTGCATTGTTAGCCAACTCTTCTAATTGTTTCTTAGCTTCTATTTCTTCCGCTTTTCTGTACTGATCCATGAGCTGCCGGATACTCTCCAGTTCAGCAACACGATCTCCATAACGTTTCTGTAAAGTTTTCTCTACCTCTTTCTGCTTCTGGACTTCTTCCCAAAGGCCCTTGATTCTAAATGAAGCTGCCATATTTTCCTGTCTCTGCAAAGCTAGGAAGCAATCCAATTCAGTTCCAGCTGTATTCATCTGTTTGAATGTGAGCTCGATTTGTGTCTTCAGTTTATCAGCCCGCATCTGAAATACATAAGCTATAACAGCTTAGCATCATCATGGTTATAAATATCAAATACTACACCTACATATGATCTGTATAACAAATTATATTGTACAAACACAAAGATGAACAAAGGCTGGATGTGGTCTTGACCTATAGTCAGATGAAACCAGCAAGATAATATGGTGAACACCCCATCAGAAAGCATTAACTTATGGAGCCTTGAAGAGCACATAACCTCACATGCATAACCATTTATATGTAATAAATCTATTTCTACAGACACAAACTAGCTAGAAAAGCATGCCAGAAGATTGTGTATTCAAATCTTCTCATGGCCATCACATTTACAGTGCTTCAAAATTTGCAGGACAAATCCACATTAACCCTTCATATCAAACTACACATAATAGTAGCAGCTTCACAAAGAAAGTAAAGATGTCTTATGTCTTAATATCCCCTAACCCATAGTACTTGCTTACATAGTATGAAGACAATTCTAAACACACTATTTTTCTTGAGAGGATTCAATGGAATTGGATTACCCTGTAATTTATCTCTTTGGTTACAATGTGAAGATACCTTGTCCTCTACAGTAATCTTTTACATGATTAATCAACAAAATACCTTTTCTTATTTAATAAAAGAAATCTAGGTATGATCTTTAGATGCGTAACGTTTTTTTTTTTTTTATATTGGTTATCAGAAACAGAACCATTTCAAAAATACATCAAAATTCCATGGTCATATAAAGAACTTGGCTCCCATCAAAATTGTTTCACATGGTAACTTAAAAAGAAAATGGGTGAAATTTCACTAGACAAGTACTACCAATAAAACAGATCTGAGCTGAGCTATGGCTTAGACAGCCAGCAAGTTGATGTTCACTATAAGTACATGAAGTAGAATGTAAGAGAGGTCAATGGCTCAATGACGTCGTGTTTCAATCTATATATGATGCCATTTAATTAAAGTATGATGTTGCCTAACACATGCTGTCCTTATTGGCTTATTTAGAACAACCCCAGCCCCTTAGCCAAAAAATTAAAATAAATAAATTATAAATAAACTGAAACAAATTGTGAATACAGAAATATCAATTAAATAGAAATTTAACATAATAACCAACCTTATAACCATGAGTAAGAACATCAATCTTTTTCTCAAGCCGTTGTGCCTTTTTATTATCATCATCCATCTTCCTCTTAACATTTTCGAATTCATTTTGTAAGGCAGCAAGCTTCTCAACAGTTCCAGCCACACTGGAGAGACCATAAGCATTACGAGTAGGGAAATACATCAAATCATTTAAACAAGTCTTGTGTGCCTCAACAAAATCATCTAAGGTCTCTTCCTGATGTCCCATTGCTACACATAGATACTGCGCCTCTTCCTCAATGAATGAACCAGCCTGACACAAAGAATACAAGCCATTAAAACGTAAGAATATGAATTATACATACTAGATAATACTCCCAACATTGAACATCAGCAAATGAGGAAACTCGTGCACTTCAGTACATTAGATATATGCAGCAAACAGATCATTTCACAAATAAATCACCTACTATATCCAAGTTGTATTGATCAGTTGGATGTGCACAGTGCTTGGAGTGCAAAAGTAACTCATGCTTGAGAAGGGATAAGGGGGAAGGGAAGGAAATCAGCAATACAATTCCATCAGCATCCCTACATTTAATATTTTTTTTAAAAAAAAAAAAATCAGAATCCCTATATATTTTTTTTAAAGTGATGCATATGATGCAGATTTTTTTTTAAAACAAGCATTTATTAATTTGATATAAAATCCACATTTTCACAAATCTTAAACAATGTACTTAGGCCCTATTTGACAAAACGTAGTTGCAGGGGTTGCTGTTAGTTTCTCTGTTGTTGTGGTAGAAGCAGTTATCTAGAACAAGAAAATAGCTGGGAAGATTGATAATATAAGTTTGAGGGTTAGATAAAGTAGCTATTGACTACTTAGTTTTAAAAAGCACGCCTTCGGTAAGGCTCAAGAGTTGGCGCCTTAGCTCTACGAGGCTCAAAGACGTACAAAAGGCACGCACCTTTGAGCTTTTTTCTAGGCTGTTTCTTGCGCCTCATTTTGCACCTCATGTTGTAAAGCATCAATAGCAATTACACAAGTTGTTTTTTTCTAAATGAAAACCCATGGGACTTTGTGACGGGCAGGTTTAATTTAATTCTAGAGTGAGAAATCCCCAATACCCCAATTTGATTTGAAGAACCCTAGATATTGATCACATGGCCCTTTCACCTTTTCTCATGACTCCACTTTTACACTTATTTAATAGAAATTATATTTTTTTTTCTCTATATGATTAAAGTGCGCCTCACCTACAAAAGGCGCGCGCCTTTGCCTTGTGCCTTGCGCCTAGGCTCCAACGACTTTTGCACCTTGGTGCGCCTTGCGCCCTTAAAAACTAAGATTGACTAGTTGCAAGTTGTTACTGGTAAAAAAAAAAAAACCTTAAAAAAAAAAAAAAAAAAAATCTAACAGTTATTCTCGCTTGATAAAAGCTACTCCATAATAATTTCAGCTTTCAATAAAAGCTACCTCCACCACTAAAATTTCATAGACTACCCCCACCACTACATTGCTAAACTCAGATATTTTATAAAGTAATGGGTTTGACTTGGTCAAACCACTAAGGGTGCGTTCTATTCACCTGATTTTTACTTATCTGATCTTATCTGAACTTATTAGCCCTTAGTATAACTTATTTTAGTTATAAATTAAATTTGGGCAGCCTTGATTAACCCTTATCACAACTTATCTGAACTTATTTTTCCCGAACTTATCTTATCTGAACTTTTTAACCCTGAAATAAGTGGAAATAAGGTGAACAGAACTTGGCCTACAAGATACTTAAAACCTAGTGCCAAACATGCCCTTTATAGTTTAGTAAGTTTACACAGCTTGGATCCATCCGTGTAGCATCTAGAACTTCAAGTTATTACATTGTCTTTAGCCAATCAGCCTGATTGAAAATTAGACCTAGCACCTACAATCAATTTCAAAATATTGACTTTCTCTTCCAGGGTGATACTAGCCTTTCTATCAGCCATTAATCATTGAGTACTCTCATACAAGAGTCACTAAATGGAATAACAAAACAACACAATGAAGAACTCAAATTGAAGTTATCAACAAAACAAAACAAAAAAGGGAGCAAATGATTCTCTCATAATTGTAAGATACGGACACACATTCTGCTCTCCATGGCTCTTGAAGTCCTGAACAAGTAACATCATCCTTTCACCTTACAGAAAAAAGGGTCATCCATCAACCAGATGGCTTGAGGCAGAAAGATGAGAGTGCAGTTGACTGCAGACTCAGGTTAGTGAAAGGATGTAGGAAAGCAGCACAGCTCAAGGTCCATTGAAGAAATACCTACAACTCATTTCCCTCCCTCTGTCCTAAAATTAACAAAATGCACCGTGTTGGCAAGGTCTGAGGATGTCAAGGTTTACACCACCTTCCAAGTTCTAGACAGGTCATACCCTACCCCATCTTACAGATCATAAAACCGTAGATATACCCTCGTACAAAAAATGATATACTGCACATTAGGAAATATTGAGAATCATGTCATTTAATAGCCAAGAAAATAGATTACATGAGCTGAAAGAACATAAACAATCGATCCATGAGAGAGAGTTGCCTCATCATCGGTAAAAGCCCTAATGTACCATTCCATTACCATGAAGTAAATGGCTCAAAATATAAGAATGAGGGATTTCAAATCTAAACCCTAGATTGGGGAGTAATATACTACGTATATATCTTCTTTTTCAACCTGGGCCGATAAAAAAAGAATCAATATTTTTTTCACTTTTCATTAAGTGTGCCTCATTTGAATGAGGTGTGCCTAAGGAAATCCTTATCGCCTGGTGAGCCTTAGTGGCCTCCAGTTTTTTATACATATCCCAAATTATGTAACATCTTAGGCTTTCAGCAGTCAGCACAGGATTCTAGTCCTAGATTATTAGATCCACTATGGGGCTTGGTATAGAGGTTCCTATATCATTTGTTCCCAAAAAAAGTAGCACCAAGCTTGAAACGTTGCATTGATGAGTTGATTAGTGACATGGATATTTTTGTGACAAGTAAATTTCTTCAAAAGACAATAATATTTCTGGGATAGAATATTAAAGCAGCTGACTGGTAGGAAAAAAAGCTTCATCAAAACTTGTTGTGGTGGCCAAGTAGTTTATGTTATCCTTAAAGATAAAAGTAGAGAATAGTGCTTCTTATTAATAGTTTATCAATATCAATAATGAGATTCATCATCTGATTTCCATGTTGCCAATTCAGGTTCTTGAATTTTAAATTAAAACCGTTGTAGATTTTAAAAAGGAAATGAACACAGAAATTGGTACATGAATAGAAATTTACCTCTTTCAGTTCATCTAGTTCAAAATCCTCAATGACAGGTACTGTATTAGCACTTCGCTTAGCTGCTTTCTTCTGCTCTTTCTCACTAAGTGGATACTTGGCATTATCATGCTCTAGCAAACTCAGCAACTCTTTTCTCACCATTTCATCTGCCTGCTCAATGTCAGTAGGAGGGACAAATGAACTCTTGTCTTCACCAGCTCTCATCAATGAATTCTTAATGAGCTCAACAGAGGCAGAAGGAGGTCGAGGAAGCTCCCTTTGCAGCACTTTTGACCTCTTTCTGAGTAATGCCTGCTGCCTCGCTTCTTCTGCAGCCTTCTCACGGGCTAACCTATCAGACATATCTTCTTCAATCATCTCCTCTGGATCCTCGGAATCCTCGGGTTCTGGACGAACAACTACTTCATACTCGTTTTTGGGCTCTGGTAGACCACTTAGACCCATACGCAGGTTCCTTTTCAGTTCAGCTTGTCTCCGAAGTTCAAGTTTTGCACTATCATGCATATCCATTTCTTCATTAATACGAAGTTCATCCCTAATAGGAGTTCCTTTGGGGGTCATGCTGAAAGAATTTCCATCCCTAGAGGGAGTCATACCAATTCTCGGAGTAAGACTTGTTCCTCCAGGAGTTGCTGAAGGAGTAAGCATTGGATTAGGAGTTTGAACATCCCTTTTCTTTGGAGTGACGCCAGAAAAATCTGAAGGATGCAAATCTGGGTTGTCTCCTCCAAGCAATGGTGTTTGAGATTCCCTTAGTCTTGCCAGATTTTCAGCTTCCATCATGATAGCATCACCCTTCCCAGCAGGGGTTCTCTGGGGAGTACGCATGGGTGTCATCCCCTGTCGAGGTGTCTGGGAGTAATTTGCAAGAAGGGCGTGGGTTGCACCACTCCCATCAGCAAGATCCTGATTTCCAGCCAAAAGATCACTAGCATAACCCATTCGTGCAATTTCTTCCAACTCCTGGTCAGAAATCTGTGGAGGAGGAAGCATCAGTTTTGACCTTTTTCTAACTGTCTCAGGATCATTAAGTTTGTTGGCTTGCATTATCGCTCCTGGAGCATCTTGCCTCTCAGCAATCTTATTTTTTGCAATGTCTTGTTTCCTTAATCGGGCTTCCCTATCCACCCTTCTCTCTCCTTCAAGTTCATCAATTGTTGTGGGAAATTTAGGTTGCTCTACAGGTCTATCTTCTTCAACAACATCATAAAACCCTGGTGGAGGCCTTTTCTCAAAAGGGATCTCGGCATTATAATCTATACCTTTTCTTTTCCTCTTCCTTTGCCTGACGTCTATACCAGCTGCCTTGAGTTCTCTTCTTTTCTGCAAAGAAGCAAGCCTCCTTGCCTCTTCAAGCTGCTTCTCTCTAGCTTTCCTTTTAGCCTTTTTACCCCTTGTATTGGCTAACCGAGCTCTTGCTTCAGAGAGCATTTCTTTCTCATCTTCATCCATATCAACAGGATCTGGTCGTGCTGGTTTAGACTCTGGATTAGGATCAATTTCTCCAGGACGCAATTTACGTGGGTCATCTCCAGGTTCATAATTATCATCCTTAGTACAGGCTGCATCAAGAAGTTTCTCATATCGCTCAAGACATTGAGATGGAGTACGACCAACAATAGGTGCAATAGTTCTCCACTGAGTTGGCATAAGCTTCGCAAGATGAAGTAGCTTTTCATCTTCTTCTCTAGTCCACTCTGTCTACAAGTTTCAAGGAGATTAAGAATCAGTATCACTTCCTAAGACTTGTTCAAGTTAATTTAAAAGAGGGGGAGAACGTAAAAAAGCAAATAAAAGCTTCATTAAACCTTTTCCGATGTACTTGCTACCAAGAATTGACAGAGTAATACCGCATTCTACCAAGAATGACAGAGTAATACCGCATTCAATTTAATAAACAAACAAACTGAAAAAGGCAAACCAGATTTTTTGGGGGGGGGGGGGGGTAAATATAGTAATAACGAAAAAGTTATCAAAAGGTTTACCAATATCAAGTGCCTCCTACAACACCCCAGCTTATGAACTACACAAAATGTGGTTACACATTATTTGGAACATCACAACAACTAACGTGTAACGATATCTCCAATATCACAACAGCTTTTCTAGGTATACAGATTATATTTTCGAACATCCATCACTCCCGTAAAGTGAGTTCCCATTCCCATCCCCATCCCCATCATTCTCTCTCGAGTCTCTCCAACCTCTAATTAGATCAATTTACTTCTATTTCATCACCATCTAATTTCTGCCAGTGTGAATGTGTGATTAGCATAACTAGAGTATCAGCATACATGCAAGCTTCACCGCTTACACTAAAAAAAGCATATAACTCCGGAATCCGAGATCAAAATTAGATAAGTAAGCTCATAATTACACTCATGATTAATAGCAAGAACTAAAACTCAATCCTTCAACCTAATGAAGAACCACATTCCAATCACCATCACCCTACTACTAATTCAACTTCAGTAAGCATAAAAATCACCAAAAACAACCTTAAATTACATAAAATCAAACCCAAATAACTCGAAAAGCGAAGACAAAATTGATGGAAAATACATTGATAACATTGAATAATCAAACAAAAAATGAGGAGAGAGAAAGTAAAGAAGATGAATACCTTCTTAATTGAAGGGTCAAGCCACTCATACCAACGAGCTTTACACTGTTTAGCAGATTTACGAACAAGGAGAGAAGAAATTCGAGCCCATTGATTCTTCCCATATTTCATAACAGCAGCTTTAAGAATTTCATCTTCGGTGTTCTTCCAAACACCTCCTTTGATCATAATCCTCATCTTGAATCCCTTTTATTAATCGACCCAAAATCAAAATTGTTTTTTAAGGGTTTTTGTGTTTCGATTCAGCGAAGTTCGAATTGAAGAAAAAACGAGAAATTAATCGATTTCTAAATGGGATTTTCTGGGGTTTGAAGGGTATTGATGATGGAAAATTAGGGTTTATGAGCTTTGAAATTGACGGCAATGGCGGGTTCAGAGAAGAAGGAAAGGAGAAAGGGATTAGGGAAGAGGAGAGAGAAAATAATGGTGATGTTTGTTAGTTTTCGTTGGTTTTTCTCTCCCTTCAGATCCGAAACCCGAATTCGATTACTCCTTAACAAAAATGGGTCGATCCTACATTTGAGTAAAACTTTACCCACGTATCGGCCACAAATAAGCGTAAGCACGCCATGAATATTACCTGACTCGGCACGACATAAGAGGTTTGTCGATGAATTGTGAGTTGTGCACGGACATCATCACATCAATATCAACATTTGGCACGAGCTCGACATGATCACACCAGCGTTCAGATAGTGTGAATCTAACATGACATGTAGACTTGGTCATCTCGATTGGTGCCAACCTCTACACTATTTTGTAATGGGTAGAGGCGATGAAAAACAAAAACTTAAAACTTGTGTTTAAGCTCAATCTTGAAGTCTGGTCAAGCCTTACCTTTTGACAATTTGTATGGCCAATGATCAACTCTAATGTCAAGCCTATTGTGGGGCACATATGAAAATTTGGCTTAGTAGCTTGAAAATTGTTGATTTAATTGCAAGTTTACCAATTGTCAATTTGTCATTTTGTAATTTTTTTTTTCTTTCAAGAAGATAAACTTGTTGCATTTTCTCCTCAAGTGACCCAACCCCCTTGTGCGTGGTAGGAAAAGAAAGGGATCCTATAGGCCGAAATCAATCACAGACCAACCCGACTCAAGTTAGTGAGCTAGACCGTTTGGGAGCGAGTGGAGGTTAAGGGAATCCCAACCCCAACGTCCCCAATTGATGTGTTGTGATAGGCATGTTGAATCATTTTTTGGTTACAGTCTTGTTTCATGCTATTCGTGTACTTTTTTATATTATATTCTAAAAAAGAAAAAAGAAAAGCACAACATTTGCCCCTTACCTTTTCTAGTTTTCTTCCATGCTCTTGATTTATGTGCCAATTTAAAGTATATTTTCATGTTAATATATGTTCATTTGAATAAAACCCCGTAAACATAATGGGTCATACAACACTTCCTTTGCATAATATTATTCAAATAATTTTCACACGAGCTAATTATAGATTGATTTAAACCAAGGAAGAATGCATCATACAACAAAGAAGACACAGCTAATACAAGTGATATATATCAGATAGTAACAAAGTGTTTGAAGAGTTCAATTCATGGAGTTTGATATGTCATTAAGTCCTAGAGTTATGTGTGTAGCGCCATCCAAAACCGGGGCGATAGCAGAACAAGCAACTGCACTTGCACAAGCTGGTGTGCCTGTCATCAGCTTATCTACTGGAGAGCCTGATTTCAACACTCCTTCAGTTATTTCTCAGGTCTAACTATTACACCTTTCACATCGCGTGCATTTAGATTTATACTAGTAGCATTACTTATCAAAGTTATATTGTACAGGCTGGTATCAGAGCAATAGAAGAAAATTACACAAGGTATACACCAATTGCTGGTAAAGTCGAGCTTAGAACAGCAATCTGTCACAAGCTGAAAGGTAGTACACTAGTACAGTGTATAAACATTCTTGTGTTATGTTTATGATTGATATGTAGGCCTTAAGGTTTACCTTTATGTTGATTTATTTGTCATAGAGGAGAATGGAATCTCTTACAATCTCGACGAAATTCTGGTAAGTAATGGAGCCAAGCAATCCATCTTTCAAGCAGTGTTTGCGGTTTGTTCTCCAGGAGATGAGGTACTATAGTTAAACTCCATGCTGCAGTTTTAAGGTCATGAAATAATTCAGGCTGCTTTCGATGTCTGAGTAATTTTTTTTTGGTGTATCATGTTGTCAAGCTGTTTATTGTATATTCAGGTGATAATTCCTGCTCCTTATTGGGTGAGTTACCCTGAAATAGCGAAGCTAGCTGGTGCAACTCCTCTTATTCTTCAAACAAATATGGCTCTAAACTTTCTGTTAGACCCAAAACAGCTTGAGGCAATGCTTAGTGAGAAGTCGCGGTTGTTGATTCTATGCTCACCTTCCAACCCAACAGGATCAGTTTATCCTAGGGAGCTCCTACTAGAAATTGCTGAAATTGTAGCCAGGCACCCCCGCCTTCTGGTAATTCCATCCTATTTCTATATATATGTCATTTTGATGCAGGTAATATCTGATGTATGCTGAGTTCTGATTGTTTTGTGGCGGTGTTGTTTAATTCCGTACTATCTGATGAAATATACGAGCATATCATTTATGCACCAGCAAAGCATACTAGTTTTGCAGCACTACCGGACATGAAGAATAGGACCTTGACAGTTAATGGGTTTTCCAAGGTAGCTTAGAAGATTCTGCATAAAACAAACTTCTAACCAATTAAGTCCGTTATTTCATCAGCTTAATCTGCCCTAAAGAAAATATTGGTGGCTTAACACGTTTAATTACTTTCGGAAATTATGTGAAGATTGTATTTAATGTAATATCCATACTTCCATTGACACTAAATTTTAATATCTTAGGCCTTCGCCATGACTGGATGGAGGCTTGGGTATCTTGCTGGTCCTAAGCACTTTATCGCTTCTTGTGGAAAGATCCAGAGTCAGGTATGTATGTAGTCCTGTATTGAAAAACTGTCTGACAAGATTATAACAGCAGTAAACATGAGCACAGAGATAGTAATCCTGGTATCTAACAAATTTTCGGCTGCTGTTATAGTCCACTTCATCTGCTAGCAGTATATCACAGGCAGCTGGAGTTGCTGCTTTAGGAATGGGTAAAGCTGGCGGCAAGGAAGTAGCAAACATGGTCAGTGCTTTCAAGGACAGGCGTGATTTCTTGGTAAATAGATTGAAGGATTTACAAGGTGTTAAGACATCAGATCCTCAGGTAATATCAAACCTGATGCCGTGTTAATCATAAGATTGCGCTCTTTTAAACAACTCTGACTTTTAATTTGTTGCTCTCTTGCAGGGAGCTTTCTACCTCTTCATTGATTTCAGCTCATACTATGGTTCAGAAGCTGAAGGGTTTGGCACGATAGATAGTTCGGAATCTCTCTGTTGTTATTTACTCAAGAAAGCTCAAGTAATTACACTTCACTTGCTTCTGTTTGTTCTGTTTGATCACAAACAAGCTTTCAATCTAATTCGAGATGGCACTTTATTTCTTAAACTAATGCAACTCTCTCTGATGTAATTCCTGTTTTAAGGTGGCGCTAGTCCCGGGAGATGCATTCGGAGATGATAGGTGCATAAGAATTTCCTATGCAGCATCTCTGTCCACCCTTCAAGAGGTCATGCAGAGGATTGAGAAAGAGCTTGCTCAACTCAAGCCACCAGTTTAATACTAGGCAAATACTCTGTAACTTATGATCTAATATGCTTATTTGTACTTTTCAGTTTTTGTTCCTTTCATACGAAAAACTATGTTAGGGTGCCTTGAATAATCTTCAAGAAATAAAATATCACCAGCACAAATACCATTTGTTGTATATGTTGATTAACTAGAAGGTTTTGATAATCAGTATTTCATCTGTTCGGAATTAGTTGTCACGTTAAACGTGACATGATTTTACTTTTTACACACTTTTTACAATAGGTGTGCCAAAAAAATCTTTCTTCCTTGTTACCTACATCATAATTTATTACTTCATGCGTCCCAAAATAATAGGCACATTTGACTCTAATAGTCAAAACATACTGACTTTCACAGTAAACCGTTCTTTTATGATAAATAATTCATTCATTTCTAAAGCAGCTTCATTCACTAATCACTATGAACTGGCAAGCTTATTTTTCCATCACCGATGAATAACCTTGGCACCCCTAGTTCCTATGCACAAACACAGGCTCACCAACATTTTTATGACAATAGATTTTCATACATTGTTGAATTTGCTCCTATTCAGTATTATACCAATTTTTCTATCAATTTGGACAAACATCTGATCCATTTAATGAAACAAGAGAGAAATCTGAGAAACCATGTCCTCTTTCTAACAAAGTGCTAGAAGAATGGTTCACAATATCTGCAGACCGAAAAAGTTCAGAGGCCTTCAGGGCAGTTATATGCATTCTCCTTCTGAGGAAAGGCTAGTGTGTGTAAGAAGATCGATGAAAGGGACACAGATAAAAAAGGCTCAGGTTTCAAAGAGAGGGAGACGCTGAGCTGTGATCACTTCAGAGTGGTAGGAAACGTCTGACATATCAGAGGGGCGCGCATGGTGACTAAAATTCATGCACTGTGTTCGCTCTTTTTCATTAGAAATGTTTCTTTCTCTATTTTATGCGTAATAAGATTATATTTGAAAGATAGATACAGTTAACTGCTCTGATCAAGTTCTGATGATATATATTATGTAGAAAAAACAAAGATACAATAGCAACAGCAATAGTGATAGTAAAATGCAATATTCTAACTTATACGAGGCTTCTTTCCAGAAGACTGTACATCATCAAAAGGTGGACTATCACCATTGTCACCCTTTTCCCCCTTCTCACCCTTTTTCCGAGCAATGATTTTGTTAATCTTGTGAAGGTCATTGTTGAGCTTTTGCTCCTTGTTCTTTCGTGTTTTTCGTCCATCTTGCATCTTTACACCAAATTGGAAAGCAGCTTTTGGCATTGCTTCCTTTTGCTCGTTGTACTGGGCCCACTCTTCCTCCGTCTCAAAATCCCACCGATGAAGACGGCCTTTGGCCTATTGAGCATTTTAATAAAGCGAGCACAATGTTAGCACTAATACACAATACGAAGGGGCATGGTAGCACAACACCTATACAGCTATGCTACTACTCCCAAGCCAAAGTACATGCCCCCACCCCCAAAAAATAAAATAAAAAGGTGAATAAGCAGAGTGTGGACTTGTCTAGCATATAAACTTAAAGCTCTAAGAGGCATTATAAGGCAAAATGAATAAACAGCCATGCAGGCACAAAAGAACAGAGAGAAAATGGGGAAAAATCACTTACACGTCCGCCCATATCCATTTTTGACAAGTCACCTTCATCATCACTGTCCACAACCTCATGGTTATATGATTGATAACCAGGATAGCATTCAGAATAACTTTCAGATATGAAGTTGGGATCCTTTTCCCGAGAATCCTTTTCCCTCAGTTGTTGAAGCCTTTGATCATCTCGCTTAAACACAGACCCTAATCCTCGATCCTTCTCCTCTTGACTCATGAGACGAGGATCTTGAAGGATGTTTGCATTTGCTTGCATATCATAGGCCTGCATCTGTTGGAGATATTGATCAGGATAGACCAACTGATCAGCATATTGGTAGTCCTGCCACTCCCCTTGATAGGTACCACCATCTAGAGCTTGAGCATGTGCAGCAACATAGCCATTCTGAAAAGAACCATACAAGAACATACAAGCATAAGAATTTGGCACATCCATCCACATGCTATCAGAAATCCTGACAGCATTATTTATATACATCTCAACACCAAACAAATGATCATCCCCAGCAAACTTACAGCTTGATTCCAATCCTGAGATGGATTGGCTGCAGGTGGCACAGGTCCATAAACAGGTTCATTAAAATAGGAAGGCCTTTCCTTGTTCCTAGGAGACTCTTCCATGTCTTCTGAAATGGGGCTCTGACTCACAGCTTTGCTGGGCACTTCAAAATCAACACCATCACCAATAAAGATATCATCCTCTTCAGCTCGAGCAACGGCTGGGCCTTGATTGTCTCTAGTATCAAGAGTGTCCTTTCTTAATGGTGGGGGTGGGGGTGGCGGGGGGAGATTTTCTTCATATTGATTCTTTGATGACAGGTTATCAGGCTTTGGTGGTTTCTCAAAATCATCATACTCATTGATAACAGTAGTGAGTTTTCCTAGCCAATGACAGAACAGAGGGGAAAAACAGATTATCTTCCAGTAGAATTGCAAAGACAGCACAAAATAAATAGAGTTGCAAGAACCAGAATCATATGCACAAACAATGTGAATCATAGACGAATGCAAAGCTGTTCTATTTAACAACATAGAGCACAGAAAGAAACACCCCCCCCCCCTCCTTCTTTCTTCCAGGTTCAAAACTTTGGAATGTTGACCACATAGAGATACAAAAGTAGCAAGGTTAAAATTTCCATTTCATACACCCTTTTTAAGAGGGGTATATAGTGTTGGATTATGAGGACTGAGGCAACCTCAGGGTAGTACTAGGTGTGCAAGTTGCATTTTAAACAAACAAATGACCAAGTCTCTGAAGGAACCCAACTGGATAATTGCCAATGTTTAGTTTGTATGATATACACACATACACACCATAGACATTCAACCATTTTGGGATTCTTTGAAATGTCATGTATTCTGGCCTAGATCATGCACACAATTTAAATTCCTTCCCAACTCTGGAATGTGAAATAGATTTTTAAATTAACGCCTAGCAAACAAATTATATATAGAAGATAGTGGACTTGTATGCTTTTTGTTCCATCACTAGTCTTTCTTGACCTTGCTACTCTTCCCCTTACCTTTAATTCTTCCACTCTACTCACAATAACTATGCACTGATACCTCCAACCTATATTAACCTAAAGTTTGCCCACTCAGCAATACACAAAGGTCGCATATTATTCCACAGTTCAGGAAATTGTATAATTAAGGGCTCTAAATCTTGACCCCCGCCCCCCCCCCCCCTCTCTCCTCTCTTTGAAATTGAGTTCTATCACGCAGAATATTGCAGGAAGCACACCACAGCAACCCGGAGTAGATACTGCCATGAACGGGTCTAGCCACCTAGGTAGTTAGTCCAGTGCACACAATGTTAACCAGTCAAGACTAACATATTGCTGTTGGTGTTTTGTTAAACATTTTTATAACGTAATTACTAAGTAGTTAAACCACTGACACGTATTGTACAGCGAAGACATTCTTCTAGTAGACTGAGGGTTTGAGGCAAAGCTGCTCAACAGCCTCAACTTGATACCAAAAAAGAGTAGGGCAAAGGATATGCATAGCCAGCAACACTTCAACTGTGAGTTTGCAGCTTAGTCAGGTTAAGACAGCCTCAGGGAGATATGCAAAAGACTTTAACATCCTCCTTTCGTTACAAAACTAACTTCATTTTTTAAGAGGTAATAGTCACCTGTGGGGGGATAAAAAATCCTACTGATAAACACAAATGCATCATCATACCTTTGACTTCTTTCTCCTTCTTCTTTTTCTTGAGAACCTTTCCAGATGATCCTAAACGGAGATAGGACATAATTTTTGCAATCCGGTCCAGCACAGAACCATCAACATTTACAGTGACCATTTCCTGCACAAGAAATTAACACATTCAGATGAAAGTTTACACCCAAATTTGAGCTATACATAGAAAGATTGCCAACCTCAGGTACTGGGCAGTCAGCTTTACTTCTATGCAACGTAGTCGGGATATCATGAGAATAAACATTTTCCTGCAATGCAATAAGAAGTAGCTTTGAGTACATCCGATTTACAAACTATCAAGCAACAAGACATTCTTAACAGAAATTCTTCATGTACAAATCTGGATCCTTCAAATTTAGTAAATAGTTCAAGCTTTCAAAGAGCTCATTCAAGAATCACTCAATCTATTACTCAACAGAAGTGCTTTGTAATCAGCTCATAAGGATAAAGATATGCAAAACAGATACTTTTGTCACTTGTGGACTGCTCGGGTAAGTGCAGACATTTTCCCCAACAACAACCAAAAAAAAAACACAAAGTGTTACACTACAATCTGTAATAAAGATGTAAATTAAAGTATACGAGAAGATAGATGCTTGCTTATTGAACGTAAAGATACCTATATGATAGCTGTACAAGATATAAATGACTTTATATGATTTACAATGAGATCATAAAAAATTAAAACAAAAAAAATAAGAATTGGAGAGAATATTCATATAATTAAAACATACTTCATATATCTTTGGAAGGATCAGTTTCCAGGTATTAAGTGAAAAAAAAAATAAAAAAATAAAAACAATCAGCCTAGTAAATCTGTTAGGATACTGAACCAAAACTCAGAAGATAACAGCAAAACAAAATTATTAAAAGTTCTTAAGAAACTGAAACTTTCTGAGTCCAAAAAGAATTATAGATAACCAACAAACTAAAAAAAGAACGAGGCTGATCGGCAACACAAGACTTGTTTCAATTTCCATATATAGAAGATAAATGACTGTTAAATATAGCACAAATAACCCTTATCCAGTAACTTACCATGTCAAAAATAAATGACATTCGTCCAGGAAGAAACATCTCATTAGTTTTAACGACACTCTGAGGCTTGATCATCCATTGATACACAGACTGAAAGGGGTTTAAGATAATTAGTAATAATAAAAGTAAGTCACAAGCACAAAGCCATCCGTCACACTACAATCTAACAACAACACCTGGAGAGAAGAAATATTAAATAACCTTTGCAGTTGCTGTTCGGAATGATACAGGCTGGTCATCTTTAACTGGTCTGGAAAAGACAAAACATTCTTTCAGGGCATAGCAATAAGATAAAACTAAGGACATTCACCAAAATAAAAAAGATTAAGCTATGATCAACATCAATCTTGGCAGTTTTCATGCCGACCATTGTTGTTCTAAGAACAGTCCAATAGTGAGACCATATTGATCTCTCCATACTCCGTCCCACAAAAAACTTCTCATCTCTCTCTTATTGGCTTATTGCTTGTCCCACAAAAATCTTTCCATTTCTTCCTTAACTACATTCTTAGAGGATCAAGTTCCAGTGTTCAGATACAAATACAGAAATAGAACCCCACCATTTGTATCATTTTAAGATTATTATGCTATGGAAAGGGAAACAAAGAAGAGCTTGCGAGTTGAGATCATCTTGTCTCGATAATGGGCAACAATCTCAATGGAAAGTGTGAAAAGTTTCGCCTTGAGACCACTGTTAGAGGTGTCCCATAAAATGAGTCATACAGGTCCAAGATAAACAATTGACACATAAGAAGTCCTAGCAAAAGCAATCACCTGGATTTTCCATCAGTTTCTTCTTCAGCTTCTGGCTTTTTGTCCATCTCACTTCTTACTTTGTGAAGTAAAGCATAATCCAAACCCTTGACCAAGTGAGTATGCTCAACATCACCTGGAACAAACATAAAGAGTCAAAATGTGCAACAATTCAGATGTTAGACGAGTGGTTCATGTGCAATATAACCAAATTCAGTAAGATTATGGAGATAAAAGAAACTCTAAAAATCCAGCGAGATTATAAACATAAATTAGTAAGGCCATGCATGACATCAAAATTAGAAACCAAGAATTACCAAGTTAAATATAGTTTAAAGACATATAATAAACAACAATCAATTAGCAACATTGGATGTCACATTATCACAACCAATAGGCATCAGGGATTACAAAAACATATTCTTGTCCAAATTTGTGTATAAGAAGTTGAATATAGTACAATATACAAACCTCCGAGGTACTTGCTCCGCTCAATTGCCAACTTGTGTGAATCAGCTGCCCTGCAATTCAAAAAAAAAAGCAGCTGTTAACATACTAATCCAAAGCATTTTTTACAACCACCAAAGAAAACTAGACACGAGAGCCTCACTTGAGATCAACATTTCCAGGAGGAGCAACAGCATGAAATCCCAGATCGGCTGGCTCGTAATCAGGATTTTGGTCTTCTCTCCGCTCCTTTGCACGATCACGATATCTTGGCAGTTCTGGTTCTTCTGGCTTCTCCTCCCTTAAAGGTTATATACATAGCAAAAGTCAACAAAACCTCACACACGAAAGCAATCATTTCAGAAACGCATAAATCATCATTACAATTAAACCAAGGAGTACAAACATAAGATGTGCGTTCCAAATTTTTATGTCATAAAAAGCATACTCAAGACAACAAACAAGACTTAAAACGATTTTACAACAAGTTACAAAGACCCCCAAACCCTTCAAAACAACAAACAGCACAAGTCAGAAAAGGGTTTTTTCATCATCAACATAAAAGAAGAAAATGCTAAGTTACTAAGGAGCCTTGAATACATCGTTGATAGAGAGAAAATTTAACAGATTGATTTGCTTCATCAAGAAGTTCAGGTGACTAGGGCAAGGAGTATTTGTGTACAATACTACACCATATTTCCAAATAGAAATAAGGATAACTTCTAAATAGAGAAACCATGATAATCCCAACACCATGCTAGGTTAAACGATTTACGAAATTGATGCGCATTTCATATTGTCTCTACAAAAAGGTTTATAAATAAACCTAGCAATCAGCTCAAATCCTAACTAAATTTAATGGCAAAAGAGCTTCCATCAACTTGATTTCACTTAGTGCTCAACTCGAACAACTAATCTTCCGTATTGAACAAAGATAAAACCGACTTTTCCAAACTCAATGTCATGACTTATACCACCCCCAACAACATCCTCCATATTCTGCCTTTTTTAGTTTTTCTACATAAAGTGATCCCAAAGTTTCCCAATATTCTGTACTAAATTCAGCAATTAACCCAGAAGATTAATAATCGCAACGAATTCAATTCAACCACATTACAACTTCTAAAAATAACTACTCAAAACATAAATAGGTCCAATCATAGTTTATACGGCAATCAGTAAGACTATGGCCATTACAAGAACATAAATTTATGAAATTATATATAAAAACAACATAATTGAGCTAATTTATGCAACATAATTAACAACATAATTAGTAATAGTAATAGTAAGAGGAGAAGCTTACTTTCGACGGAGGGCCTTTTCTTTGTGATATTTTTTGTTAGCAGGCATTGTTTATTGTGTTAATTGAATTGGGGATTTTTCGAAGTATTGAAATTTCAGCTTGATTTTGGTTAGAATTGCAGAAATTGTCAGTGAATTGATGGAAGAAGAGGAGAGAGAAAATGGGGTTTTGCGAAAGTTAGGGCTTTTGGTTTGTTCAGGGGAGAAATAGTGTGTTTTCTGTAATCAGGAAATCGATTTGATTAAAGGTCTGTTTATCTGGTCTTAATGGTGCTTATGATGCGAGTCTAGTTTGAGTTCGGGATAGCTCGACTCGACTCATTAACATACCAAGTCGAGTTTAATCGAGTTAAGTTTTGACCGAGTCCAGCTTTGATCAAATTTGATTGAGTCGATTTTGAGTAGGTTGCATTTGATCCGTCATAGTAGAATTTTGTCATTTGAGAAATATACATTATGATGATGCGAGTACATAAATAATGTTTTATTTATTAATTGTTAATGAAAAAAAAGTTTTTTGTTTTTTTTAATCAAACTAGTTTAATTTTTAGTGAATATAATATTATATAAAGGAATTCAAGCTTCTCACGGGCTTTTGAGTCGATTATGAGCTATTCGACTCAGCTCATTAACATTTCAAGTCAATCTCAACCTCGAGTCGAGTTTTGATCAAGTCAAACTCGAGTAGCTCATGAGTTGTCTCGTCTCATAAGCACCCCTAGTTAGAGCTGTCAATTTGGGTAAACAGGTCGGGTTTGAGTCGGGTTAGTGTGAGTCGGGTCATCTCGGGTCGGGTCAATACGGGTTAATGTCATAACATATGTGGGTCGGGTTCGGGTTGGGTCATGCTTGAGTCGGGTCACGACGGGTCATACATCTTATCGGGTTTGGGTCGGGTTTAGGTTGGGTTAGTAAAAGGTCAAGTTACATTCAGTCGGGTGAAAATAGGCGGGGTTAAATTCGGGTCTTTACGGGTTTAAACGAGTTAGGGTCGTTCTCGGGTTCGAGTCGGGTTCGGTTCAAGTCAGTTATTTACGGGTTATAATCAAGTCCGGTCATTCTCGGGTTCAAGTCGGGTTTGGTTCAAGTCAATAATTTGCGGAAAACATGTTTCGTCCCTAAAAATATGTTGTAAAACTAACCTCTTAAAATTCAAAGTGAAATATTGAAGGAATAGAGTTAGGATTCAATTTTGGTTCCAATACCAACATGAGATAGCGACCTATACATATTGATTCAATAACAAGTCGGGTTGAATTTAGGTTAGGTCAATAACAAGTCGGTTTGATTCGGGTCGGGTTTGTAACAAGTCGGGTTGAAATTCGAATTGGGTTTGTAGCAGGTCGAGTTAAATTCGGGTCGGGTTAGGAAGAGGTTGGGTTGAATTCGGGTTTTGACGGGTTAAAACAGGTTTGGGTCAATTTTGGTTCAGATCAATAATTTACGGGTTACATTCGGGTCGGGTCATCTCTAGGTCGGTTGATGTTCGGGTTTGGGTTCGGGTCAACTCGGGTCTAGGGTTGGTTTCAGGTCGGGTTAAGTCGGGTTCGGGTCACCATTTTTTTCAGGTTTAGACGGGTCGGTTAATAGGTCGGGTTAGGGTCGGTATTTCGGATCGGGTCAGCTTTTGACAACTCTACCCCTAGTTATTTATGTATTTTGGTTTATTGCTTGAAAATCGAATTAAGCTCACCTTGAATTTAGTGGATTTGGACATAAAATTTTGACTTAAAGTAAGGCACAATGTGAGATCTTGCTCCTTGGAAAAAATATGAGATATTGCTAGTAAGCCATTTGTGTTCTACAAAGCCTCCCCCGCCTTTTTTTTTAAAAAAAATGGAAAGGTAAGCAAGAAGTTAAGATAGTCTTCTCTCAAGACTAACCCAAACTTATCTAAATAAATAAAATAAAAAAAAAATAAAAATTTACTATCTATGAACAGATCGATATCTTGGTGAGCTTGCATGAAATGGCCCAAAGAAGCACCATGTCTGCTGCTCTATTACTTCTCTATAAATGTGGCGTGAATCAACATAGGTGAAATTTCGAATCCGTTCCTTGACATCTTCCCTCAGTAGCTAAATTTCCCACGGGCATTGAGCCACCCACTTATTGATCACCTCTAGGCATTCTTTTTAACACAAATTTAAAAAAAAAAACGGTGTTCATTAATTTAATGAATGGCGGAATTTTTGGACAAGCATTAACTGCCAATTTAGTGGGTTTGGCACGTGCTTCCTAATGATTGCCAAAATAAAGAAAGAAATAGAACTTTTCTCTCTTCATTCATTCACTATAGCTTTCTCTCTCTTCGTTTTTCTCTCTCTAAAAAGCAAGTAACTGGCGATTTCGAGCGTTTTCTCTGTCCTCCATTGTTGATTTTCGAGCTTTTTCTTTCTTCTTTTTCACTAGTGAAGTTGTTATTTGCTTAATTCAGGTTCGTTTACTTATTTTTTTGAGATTTTTGTTAGTTTAAATTGTTTTGATTCTTCGATTTTTAGGTTTTTTTATTTTGATTTTGTTTTCGATTTTCGTAGTGTTGATTCTGCAATGGTGAAGAAGAAGATTACAAAGAAGGTTGTAGATGCTGAAGAAGGTGTGTTTACTTAAATTTTTCATCATTTTTTCAAATTTTTCAATTGAAATTTCGCTTATATATGTCGAATTACTAGTACATGTTATTTTTTTATAGTTTTCAGTTGATTTTTTATGCATATTATGATAATTGAATTTGAATTATGAAGTTATTATGTTTAATTTTGCTTTATTTTATTGTTCATTGTATATAATTGATTCAAAATTTTGCTTATTATTCTTCAAATTTTGTATGTTAGGTTTTAGTCAGAGAATGCTAATTAAACTGATTATTTGTTTAGGTTTTATGTTTTAGTTAGATTATGTGTATAATAGGCATATTCGCATTGTGTTTGTGCATCTGTGTTTGATTAACATGCATATATGCATTGCTCATTGTGTTTGAGTAATAGACATGTGTGTCATTTATATGTTTTGACAATGTTCACTTTATGATGTTAAAAGGGTGACTTTATGCTGTTAAAAGAGTCACTATATATTGTTAAATGATTAATTTTTTCAGTTAAAAGGGTCACTTTTTGCAAAAAAAAGGTCACTTTTTGCATACAAAAGGGTCACTTTTTGCATACAAAAGGGTCACTTTATGCTGTTAAAAGGGTCACTTTGTGCTGTTAAAAGGGTCACTTTGTGCTGTTAAAAGGGTCACTTTATGCATTTAAAAGTGTCATTTGTGCACATTATTCTATATTTTTCCACGAGTAATTTCTGAATTTGTATTTATATTACTTTAATAATTAAATACAGGTGGTTCAATAGGTGGTTATCGTTATAAAAAGCCTACAAAAGGAAAAGGAAAGCCTAAAGAGCCTGCTAAGCCTAAACCAGTACCAAAAAAGACCCAGATAGCTCCTGAGAAGAGCAAAGCAGTATCTAAAAAGGCTGGGAAAATTCCTGAGAGTGACAAACCAGAGTCTGAGAAGGCCAAAATAGTTCCTAAGAAGGCCAAAATTGTACCTAAGAAAGCTAATACAGTGGAAGATTCTGATTATGAAATGCTTTCTGAATCTGATTCTGAATCTGTTATGTAAGTATACATATTTTTTTATTACATTTTTAATTATATTTTGTTTTTATTTTATATTGTTTTAGTTACATTTTCTTTCTTTTTTTTTTTTCTATTTAGGGAGCAAAGAAGAATCATTGCAAGATGTAGACCCTATTCATTGGAAATATTGCTGCAGAACTTTAGTCCTGAGCAAAAACAGGCTGTTGAAGAAATTGGTTTTGGAGGTTTATTACATCTTAAATTGAAAACTCTTAATCGTCAAATGCTACCTTGGCTTGTTGAAAACTTCAATGCTGGTAGCTGCATGTTTACCATCGCTACTGGTAAAGAATTTGTTGTTACTAGAAATGATATATGCGATGTGTTTTGCTTGCCTTTGAGTGATATTTGTGTTCCTGAACTTAATAAAAATTCTGAAGATGAAAGTGTAGATAAACGTATCATTCAGGCATGGAGATCTGATTATGGTCTTTCTGGTAAGCAACCTCTTCATTTGTCAAAATTGGAGTCTAGGATGGTTGATTTGGTTGATGGAGGGGAAGAATTTAAGAGGTGTTTTGTTCTTCAAACTATGTCTAGCTTTTTAGCTCCTACTACTAATAGGATTGTTTCATTGAAGTTGCTTAAAGGTGTTGAAAAAGTTGATGAAATTAAAACTTTTGATTGGTGTTCATATGTTTTAAAAAAGTTAAAGAAGGCTGTTCAGAAGTATAAGGATGATGAAAATGCTCAAAATGTTAGTGGTTGTTTGCTGGCTTTGCAAATTATGTATTTTCATCGTCTAAATTTTCAAGGTGAAAAGGAAAGTAGTACTCTTCCTTTAATTCAACATTGGACGGATGTAAAGATTAAGAAGCGAATTAAGTTAGAGATCAAAGCTGGTGGTTATGGGCAGGGACCATTGGATACTATTACATATCCTGTGTCACAGCTTAATTTTAGGGGAACTGTTTTTAAGCCAGCTCCTACTTTGGGTTATGATAAGGGTCCTTCTACAAGTGGTACCACTGGTCGCATTGTTGCATTTGAGCTTCCAGAAGGTATTATGACCGATGAAGAAATTAAAAAAATTTCAACTGATGTAAGTGTTCTGTTTTCTTATATGTTTAGTTTAATGGAATTAGATTTCCTACTTATTTTATTATTTTTATTTGTAACATTTTTTTTTTCATTGTTCATATGTTTGTAGGTTGTTCATGAAATGTTTCTTTTGTTTAAAAGAAATATGGATGTTTTATTATTTGTTCAGCCAACTAGTTTTCAAACCTTGAATGATCTGATTACTTCTCGCAGAAGTGTTTCATTATCTTCTGATGATTTTGTTTCAGTTTCTCAAACTGAACTGCTACTCTCTGATCCTCATTATTTGAAGATTTTAGATGGTTTAATTGATGAGTGTAATAAAATGAAGTCTGTACATGATATGTTTCGCGGTTTTTATGAACCTACAGAAGGTTACAAAGATTTTGTTCCTGAAAAAGAACCTGCACAAGATTTCAATGAAAATATTCCTAAGGATAATGACAATGGTCATGGAAAAATAGTTAATGAAGGCCTTAATGGTTCTGGACCTTCTGCTATAATTCCTGGTCCTACTCAAAATATTCCTGTCGGGCATATTGATCAAAATGAACCTCCTCGACTCAGAGCAAATA